TACTCGAACAACATGTAACTTGTACAGCAAAAAAGATCGTCCGCAGAGGGGGCCCAGAATCTAGTTCGTTCTCTTGCATCCAACACAGAAGCCGCCTGATGGCGGTGGCAAGCGCTTCCGCGTTCTTTCGCTATACTGCTTTCCCGTTTTGCACCGGACACTAGCCCGGTGCAGAACGGGAAAGCAGTATAGCGCAGTGAAGCGCAACTTGCATGAAATCCTCCATTTTGCGGGCGTGCTCAGTACTTTCAAATTTACACTTTTCCTGTTTGGTTTGTCACTTCAAAATATTGTGAGTTTCACGGCTTCAGACACACGATGAAGTAGTTGCAAGCACTTCAAACAGCGGAGGAAGCAAAGTTGAATGCCCGGAATGCCATTTCATGTGCGACACCACACTAGCTCTATGTAAGCATTGTCAGCTACAACATAGTGACAGCGGGGAATTTGCTGTGCGCGAAGACAAATTTTCCTCATGGGATGAATTTGAAGTGAGATTTTGCTATACTACTATTGTAGATGGTATTCCACTTACATTTTCAGTCATGGCTATCAAATCAAGAAAAAGAGACGGTTTCCAAACTTGTATTACGTCATACCCGGAAAAGCAGCAAGGGCAATATTTATATGTACATTTGTAATCGTGCCCGAGGAAGAGGCGAAACTGTAAATGAGAAAGAATATAGGAAACGATACGTTATCCCGAAACGAGTGCTAAGGAACTGCCCTTGTTTTGTGAAGGTGATTGCTGTTATACAAAATGACAGTATCTGTCATTTTAGCAATGTTTTATCTAAGGCTCATGTACGCGGGGACGGCCTCATCACGGTCACATCTTGTTTCGAGCACTTAGGCCACGAAGTGACTGCGGCCTTCCTCCCGCTTTCACGGAGTGATGAAGAAAGGGTGGTATCACTTTTGTCAATGGAACTTCCTTTTCAAACGGTAGCGTTTGATTCGAGCAGATAGGAAAACATATCACATAGTTTCTTTTCAAGGTCGTTGCTAAACTTCGCGCAGAATGGAATCCTGACGAAGACGAAAGGAAACAGCCGCGAACTTGCTACATCACCATGAGAGACATCTGGTAAGCTATCATGCTT